GAATAAAAATTAAGGAAACAAAGATATATCCAACGCATTGTGATCAACGCATATTAAAGAAAAGGTTAGAGGAAAAAGAAAAGAAAAAAAGAGTTAATTACCCATATTGATCTTGGGAAATAACCAACGCATTGTGAGCAATCTCACTGATTAAATTATCTCGGAGTACACTATTGGAACAAGTGAGGTATTTTTGAAGCACACAACAACCATGACGATCAGTCGCAAGATCAACACAACTATTTCTTACAGCATCAAACAGTACCTGCAGCGAAAGTGATAACCCCAGAATTAATTATTTGTTTCACAGAATTCATGTTACAAAATGAATCTTCCTCAATGTCAAAGACCAGTTGAGGAGGAGGAGGAGGGGGGTTACACACGCCTGATTAAAAGATTAAAGAATACCAACCATGCAAATCGTATCTACTTCCACCGAATTTGGACCCAAAAAAGAAAAGTTCAGCCATCAATATCAATATGGCTAAAAATGGTATTATATTCAGTAACAAAAGACATCAGGCACAAGTCTAAAAAGATTGTTAGTGATTGATATAACTCCTTACTTTACCAATTAAACCATATAACTTCCGAACGAACAATATAAGGATCCACGGAGAACCTTGACAAAGAAATTATAGAGAGAGAATAAACTGCTTGTTGGGTTGTCACGTTTCACTTTTTAAGGAGGGAGGGAGGACAAGTACTTGAGAAGGTAATTTTCTAGCAGATTTAGAAATACAGATGCAAAAACAAAAGTCTTAAGTAGTCATTCAAGCATCATTGAAAACTCCAGTGTTTAACTTATCATAACCTCTTAAACTCGCTTTCTTCAATGTTCCACTCACCTGATTCTATAAAACCATATACATGAAAATTTTCTCAGCACATTTAAAGATGTGGATATATTAATTGTTACTGGGAAAAGACTAAGAAAAAATTGGGAGAAACAAAAAATTTGAAAGGAAGTAAAAAGTTGGGACCTGTGCACTCAGATTTTCAATTAAATCCTTTCCTCATATACAGACTTCTTCGAAATTTCTTGCTTCTTGTCATTCTACCCTTCGAACTATTTCCTCAAAAAAAAAAAAAAAAAAAAAAAAAAAAAAAAAAAAAAAAAAAAAAAAAAAAAAAAAAAAAAAAAAACTACTTGCAGTTACTGACAAAATATCTTAATCCCAAGGTTGCCACCTTGGCTACCAGAAATTATCCATGGCTTCCATACATTCTCCTCTCAAAGGTAAACTATGTAAAAGGCCAATCAAATACTTTTGGAGACTTGCTATCACTTGAATGGGGCATAACTGAAGGAACAATTTGAATGAAAAATAGCAAAACTCCCCAGAAAAATGGACTAAAAGGGAAAGAGATCAAATTAAAAAAGGTAAGCACCTTTTTGTAGTTCTAAACTACAGATGAAAAAGCAAGCACCTTCTTACGTGAAACGAACAAATTCAAAGAAACAGAGCTAGAAAATATAATCCTGACCTCACTGCTAGGCATTAAATAATCAAGGCAATGTTGTGCAACATGGTTTCCGTTTACGTTTTTCATCAGAGTCACCATACCAGACTTCAAAGACGAGACAATCATGAAAACTTGCTCTTGGGTTTTAAGAGTCTCAATAACCTTCTGAACAGCACGAGTCCTGTGATTGAGAAAAATGAATTTGGAAGAAAAATTAAAAACATTAAAAAGAAATGCAATGAAGTCCATAAATTCTTGTGTTTGACCATTGAGGCATAGAAAATGACAGGAAAAGAGCATACCCATGCATGTCACATGAGACTAGAATAATTTCACCATGGTTCTGTGTAATTCTACGTAGAAATTTCATCCGCTGATCTTCATTGCAAACTTCAAGCAGCTTCTGTACTAGATAGTTTCCAAAAGGATCTACCATAAGGTCAACAACATGATCAATGATTTCATTGAAAATCTTCTCAATATCTTCATCAGTACCCTCCATAAATTTCCGTTGCAAGAAACGGCAACCATGTTGGTCTTTTGCCATTAGAAATATTTTACCTCTGACTTCATCAACAGAGTTAAATCTTTCAGGCACTAACTTGAGATTTGCAGATTCCAAGTACAAAGCAGATGAGCTTAGTTCATTACGAAAAATGCGTTCAGTAGCTGGAGCAAAATTGTTGTGCCGAACACAGCTATTTGAGCGGACAATTCTACTTCGGTCAACATGATTGGCTGATTTATCAGCACCAATAGACATAAACCTCATAGCATCAACTGCGTTCAGTCGGGTATTCCTAGCAAGGATCTTTTTAGGAAAGGAAACTTTCTCCATACCTTGAACTGTGTCAATATAGCGCGTTGAAAATGCAGGATTTAAGTGCTTTGAAACACTATGAAATGCACATGCCTCCCAAGATGCTTCACGATTCAACTGTTCGAGATGGCGAGCAATTGGAACCTCATAATATTTCTGCTTACCACCTTGACATGAAGTCCTACTTGAATGATTCTCCTGTGATTGATTAGGAAGCCAACGTTGCTGAATATAAAGATGCTGCGGGTATGGATACTGCTCATGCATCCTGTACAACTGCTCCTCTTCAGTATAATTCCAACCCATTTGCTGACGATTTATCTGTTGCGGATGTATGTACTGAACATGAGACTGCCCATTATGGATTATTTGCTGCCTTTGAGATGTGATAGGAAACTGCAAATTCTGAGCAGACACATTTGCCACCTCATAAGTCAATGGCATAGCAGGGGAGGAAGTCTCCAATGGCTGAAGCTGACCAGCCTGCCACTTTTTATACTGATCAGGTATATGTCGAGAAGGAGAGTTTTGGTGGCCAAGTCTTATCATATGAGGATCATGAACACCATTAATCAAGTGATTTGAAGAATCCAAAGCACCTAATGCCGATGCATCCACATTGACTAATTGTTTGATCAAGTTATCTGAGTAATGATCCTCCAACCTAATGGCATGACCCTGCAATGACTTCCAAGTACGCCCCTTCGCCTCATCACCGAAGTTCAGCTTTTCAAATGCAAGTGCCAAGGACCGGTCTCCTGGCATAGCATCTTTCCTAGTTAGCATTTGATCCATGGAGGATTGCTGGAGTGTATTCATAGAGATATTTCCATCCATCAAATTCCCATTGCGATGGAAGTTTCTAATGGAAGTCTCTTCATAGGGACCCACAGGTATTGAAAACAACCCCTTTTCTTCAGCATGTGCATTACCAGATGCAACATTTGGAATCTCATCACCAATAAGCCTTGCAAGGTCCTCAATTTCCAGTTCAGTACCCATATCTTCCATTGTTATAACGAACAAGAACACTCCCTCTTGAAGAATAAATGATAGAACGACACAAATATTTCAGCCTTCAGCCTGCCAAGCAGCAAAACACACTCATATAGTTTATAGTATCAATGATCAGTTCATAATTCCATCAAATTTCCAGCCTACATTGCAAAAAGAAACAACCAAATCACTGAAATCCCACAACCCAGACAAAGAACGACGAAATCTCAAACAAGAACCATCAATCACAATCCAATAAAGGATCACCTAGCCCAGAAATTTTACGCGATCACCCACTAATCGACTGTACCCTTCAAGACAACAGTAAGAACAGAACGTTGAGATAGAATCAAGAACAAATTGCTTAAGTATCAGGCAACTCCTACAGAACATTAACAAGAAAAGAAGAACAAAACGATCAATGCAAGAAAGGGGAAAAACACATGCAAACACACAAAAAACAAATCGACGTATAAAATTCCCGAAAAGCACAAAAAATCAAAATCCACATCAGAGAAAGCGCCCAAAAGATGATCGATCATACACACACAACTTGATCACAAAAAATCAGATCAAAGAAAACTAACCGAGTAGCCGATGAGAAACAGCAAACAGAGGAGAGGAAGAAGGCCAAAAGTAGGGAAAGTATGAATATAAAGGATGCAATGGAATAGAAGAAGAAGAAGAGCGGCGGCGTGAAGAAGGAGAGAAGGGATTAAAGGAGGAGAGATTATAGGAAAAACAAAGAGAGATTGGAAAATATCAAAGCAGTATCATGCATGGATTTAGATTGTTACGTTTTCCACTCTTTTCATTCTTTTTTGTTTCTTTTGGATTGTTCATCAAAAATCAAAACTAATTTTTTATAATTTTTTTTTCTCTCTCTTCATTTTATCCCATTTTTTTTTTTTTTTTAAATGAAGATTTGATTAAGTTAGGATTTGTTTATGGTTGGAATTGGTTGCTTGCTTGCTTGATTGGAAGGACCGTCACTTTTCTACTTTTCTCTTTTAGCTTAGCTTGATTGAGCGTATGGCAACGAGCTCTTTGGATTCCATACTCTAGTTCAGATCCCGTTGCATCGAGCCCTTTGGATTCCCTATTCTAGTTCAAATGTGTAAGCAATGAATTAGAGCCGCGTCTGGTGAGCAAGCTTTAGTCTAAAAAAGTGAGACTCGACCAAGTAACCCACCTTATAAACCATGTCCCACTAAACTTCCTAGTTTTTAACCCCTATATCCACTCGCCTTTCTATCCTCAGTTGTCGATTGAAATGAGTCTCTGCTTAACCCTTAAGACGTTCTTGGATGGTTGATTAAAATGAGTTTAAACGCAATTTTGTCTTGGTTGCATGTTGCTATTCCCCATAAGGCAAAATCCATATCCTAAACCTTGCTTATACAATTTCATTAGTTCCGACCTACCTCCGAGCACATTGAACTTTTTAGCGAGAAGCGAGAAAATCAAAATAACTAGCCAAATTTAGCCGTCATTTTAGTATGCTACATTTTTCCTATATTGATCGTACTTTATATGGTACATGAAGACAAAGAAATACACATATGGCACTGTCTTAGATTTTAGATTCTGATAGATTATATTAATTTAATTCGATTTAAAAATGAATCAATAAAATATTCTTATTTCATTTTTAATTGAAGTTTTAAGTATAAATATTTTTTGTGCGTGCACAAATATACGAGCCTTTTGTATACCTAAAGAGCCTAAGCTTATCATTCATCGTCATCTCGGTCTCCAATACAACAATGACTCTACAAAAAGGGTCCGAGTATGAAACATGGATAGAGATGGAGACGAACCATGTTAACATGGCTTAAGCTCCTTAACAAACAAACAAAAGAACAAAATAATAAGACCTAGTTGCACACTTGCAGCCATGGTTAATGGCCTAAGCTCCTTAACAAACAAAAGAACAAGAGAACAAAATAAAGAGCGACTTGAGGAGAAAGACTAGTTGAACACTTGCAGCTAAGCTCCTGACAAACAAAAGAACAATAGAACAAAACAGCAACACTTCGAGAGCAGAAAGACAAGCCATGTCCTTTTTTGACCAACAACAACAACAAGGAATGCAGGTTACAGCCAATCTTAGTCGATTGTGTCGGTCAGTTCACTTTTCCGAGCATTCCGAGCACTTTCTTCCCGTACATGTTCGTCCTAAGCAACGGGACGTGCGGTCTGATTGCAGCCACAAGATTAGCATGAAGAGAAGAACCCTGTTTAACAAACACAAACATTCATGTAATTCAGCAAATCATAACCGTTTATCAAACAGTTTAAGTTTGATACTCACTTTGCAAATCCCAGAATGAGCCAACACTGCTTGAACTGCGTAGTTTCCATATGGGTTAAGCATAATTTGACTGAATCGTTCGTCGTTTATCAACTCATCGATAATTTTCGTCAGATATTCCTCTCCAATAGAAGCACATTTTTCAACAACATTACTGCTATATTTCTGAATCGACAAGTCCGCAAAATGGCCCTCTAAACGTTTCAAGATACCGGATATCACCCAAGGAATTGCAGTAGGATTACGCGCAAGGTCGAATGCAAATTGCACAACATAGTTCCTACATCGTTCCAATGCAAAATCAAGCACTCGGTTTTGAAACATTACTATCACAAAATCAAGCGCTAGTTCCAAAGATCAATCATTGTATATTCAAAGTTCAGAGACTAAATCATGCATAGTCAACGAGTTGAAAAACTAGTTAAAGAACCGAATCACAATGCTGCAAAACAACAGAGAACGGAGTCCATGAACTTTATAAAGATCAAAAGTAGACGCCAAATTGCACAACATAGCTCCTGCATCGTTCCAATGCAAAACCAAGCGCTCGGTTTCGAACAAAATCAAGTGCTAGTTCTAAAGATCAATCATTGTATATTCAAAGTTCAGAGACTAAATCATGCATAGTCAACGAGTTTAAAAAACTAGTTAAAGAACCGAATCACAATGCTGCAAAACAACAGAGAATGGAGTCCATGAACATTATAAAGATCAAAAGTAGACGCCAAATTGCACAACATAGTTCCTGCATCGTCAATGCAAAATCAAGTGCTCGGTTTCGAAACATTACTATCACAAAATCAAGTGCTAGTTCCAAAGATCAATCGTTACATATTAAAGTCAGAGACTAAATCATGCTTAGTCAACGAGTTGAAAAACTAGTTAAAGAACCGAATCACAATGCTGCAAAAACAACATAGAACGGAGTCCACGAACAATATAAAGATCAAAAGTAGAATTACCCGTATTGGTCTTGGGAAAGAAATAAAGCATTACATACAACCGCGGTTAGCAATCGATCTCGTTGTCTATGATCAGAACAAGAAAGGCATTTTTGAAGCACACAGCAACCATGTCGATCAGTGGCAACCTCAGCACAACATTTCGTTGCAGCATCGAAAAGGAACTGCAAAAGAATTCATTGCCAGCATTTCATTTCATCACAAAAATGCTAGTGAAAACGAATCCCCAAAGGAGACCCCTTACCTCAATATATTCAGACACCAAAAACTGCAAGCAATGCTGTGCTACATGGTTACCATTAATGTTTTTCATGAGAATCACTATTCCAGGTTTCAATAAGGAGACAATCATGGAAAACTGCTCTGGGGTTTTAAGGGTCTCAATAAGCTTCTGAACAGCCCGAGTCCTGTAGTTTTGAAACAGATTTTAGACATGAAAATGATGGCTGAACAGAGGTAAAGAGACAAACAGTGATAGAGCATACCCGTGCATATTACACGAAATTCGAATGAGTTCACCGGGTCGGTTAACCTGGTAAAGAATTTGAAGCCGTTGATCCTCATCACAAACTCCAAGGAGCTTCTGTATTAAATAGTTTCCAAAAGGATCTATCATGAGCTCAGAAACATGTTGAATGATTTCATTGAAAATCATGTCGATATCTTCCTTAGTACCCTCACTGAACATCCGTTGCAAGAAGCGACAACCGTGTTGGTCTTTAGCCATGAGATATATTTTACCCGTGGCTTCATCGAGAGAGTTACATTGTAGAGGCGGTATCTCGGTCTTATGTTTCGCATAACTAGACAACATAGCAGATACCCTTAAGTTCTCATGACAGACGCAATCCGTAGCGGTTGAAGGAAAACCGAACTGCCTAAAATAACAACTTTGACAAAGATAGCTGTTTAGGCGCATAAAATATTTTTGTTTCTCGGCATCGACAGATGGAACTTTCATACAATCAACTACATTCAGTCCATGGGTCATAATGGGGATCTTTCTAGGAGAACATTGCTTGAAACTTTTATCCTGGCCGTCTAATGTATCTACATACGGTGTCGAAAAAACATGATTTGATATACCTGAACCCACGTAATTTGCAGTCCCATTGGAGAATCCATCATGTTTAGACTGCTCAAGATTGTGGGAAACTGGATACTCAAAACAACATTTCTTCTTAGGACTTCTCAGAAACCGCAACTTCCCGAATGTAGCGTTACCAAACGATTCGAATTGATTTGAATACTCCTGTTGCTGATTATGAAGATCATGAAGGTACTGGTGCTGCCCTTGCATCATGCAGGAGTTGACAAGCTCTTCTTTTGTACAATTCAAACCCATTTGGCCATGATTCATTTGTTGTGGATGCATAAAATGCATAGGGGATAGGCCACTCGGCAACATTTTCTCGAGATGAGACGATATAGGAAATGGCATCGCAGGCATTTCATGAGTCGATGGCATAACAGGGGAAGGAGTTTCAAATGGCTGAAGGTGACAAGCTTCCCCATTCTTGAGGCCATCAGAAACAGGCCTTGGTGAGATTGATATCTGAGGGCTATGAACTTTCATATGAATATCATAATAGCCATTGTTCAAATGATGTGAAGACCTCAAAGATGGATCAGCAACCACTGGTGCTTCAGAAATGAATGATTGCTTATTCATATAGTTTTCAAATTGATCATTCTTCAACCAAGTTCTCCCCGACCTCTCCGCACCCAAACTTAATTTCTCGACTGCAGATGTCAATGACCGGTGGTCTCTGATCGCCCGGTTACTTTCCCCCATCCGAAATTGACCTGTTGATTGCTGAAGCTCATTCATCATGACCTTTCCGTTCTCCAAAGACGAGCCCTTACAGGAATCTGCAACCATCGAAGTCATTCTCGGATGAACTGATTCCTCAGTACGTCCATTCTCACGAGCAACTATCGGATTCTCACCATAAAGCCTCTCAAGATCAGTTGTCAGTTTACAGTCCATTTTTCTATTTTATACACGAGAGAGCTCTTTAAATGACCTATAATTCCAGAACAGTGGCAAGGCTTAAGAACAGAAACACCAATAAATATCTCACTTCACTCACAAAAAAAACAACGCAATGATACAAAGATCGTAAGAACAATGTCTTTTCACTATCTTTCATCACATCAGATTCATACTCAAATGACATCCTTCCATTGTACAAAAACAAACCAACAAGAACTATCGAAGAATCATCAAGTCCTTCACAAAAATTCAAAAAGAGAAGAGAAAATCAACCCCGGATCATCGATCGACACCTAAAGAACCTCATTAAAACTCAACTCAACCACATTATTAGATATCCAGCTCGAGAATACATGATCAAACGAGGGCAAAATCCAAGAAAATCCCCAAAAAAAACCGTAATCATCACAAAAAGTAGAATCCCCAAAGAGACAATCAATTAAGGGGTAAACAAAAAAAAGATGGATCATAAAGCTAATAAGAACATTACATCATGATGATTATGAAACAAAATCAAGAATCACAGAGATAAACGAGAGAATCGAGACTAACCCAGTTGAGATAATGGAAAGGGAAGCGAGACCCAGGTGAGAAAAGGAAGAATGAGAGTGAAAAAAGGAGATTACAGAAGCAAATAAACAGTGTGTATGAGTGGGAAGAGTGGGAATGAATTGGGAATGTTTCTTATGCTACAACAAACAAATAAGAAGAAGGCAGAAGAGGAGTGGGAAATGGGTGTAGGTAAGGTGAGAAGGAGAGGCGGCGTGAAGAGGAAGAAGAACTAGAAATAGGGAGAGAGAGGGGGAGAGAGGTTGAAGACGGGAGAGAGATTACAGGAAGGGTGGAGAGAATTGGGAAAATATCAAAACCGAATAAAAATCGAAATCGGAACTACTTTCAAATTTTAAAAACTAAATCAAAAGGGAAAATGAATTGAATCAAAAGGATTAGCTATTTACACAAACATGCATGGATTTGGAGTGTTACGTTTTTCATTCATTCTCTCTCTCTCTCTCTCTCTCTCTCTCTCTCTCTCTCTCTCTCTCTCTCTATGTCTCTCTCTCTCTCTCTCTCTCTCTCTCTCTCTCTCTCTCTCTCTCTCTCTCTCTCTCTCTCTCTCTCTCTCTCTCTCTCTCTCTCTCTCTCTCTCTCTCTCTCTCTCTCTCTCTCTCTCTCTCTCTCTCTCTCTCTCTCTCTCTCTCTCTCTCTCTCTCTCTCTCTCTCTCTCTCTCTCTCTCTCTCTCTCTCTCTCTCTCTCTCTCTCTCTCTCTCTCTCTCTCTCTCTCTCTCTCTCTCTCTCTCTCTCTCTCTCTCTCTCTCTCTCTCTCTCTCTCTCTCTCTCTCTCTCTCTCTCTCTCTCTCTCTCTCTCTCTCTCTCTCTCTCTCTCTCTCTCTCTCTCTCTCTCTCTCTCTCTCTCTCTCTCTCTCTCTCTCTCTCTCTCTCTCTCTCTCTCTCTCTCTCTCTCTCTCTCTCTCTCTCTCTCTCTCTCTCTCTCTCTCTCTCTCTCTCTCTCTCTCTCTCTCTCTCTCTCTCTCTCTCTCTCTCTCTCTCTCTCTCTCTCTCTCTCTCTCTCTCTCTCTCTCTCTCTCTCTCTCTCTCTCTCTCTCTCTCTCTCTCTCTCTCTCTCTCTCTCTCTCTCTCTCTCTCTCTCTCTCTCTCTCTCTCTCTCTCTCTCTCTCTCTCTCTCTCTCTCTCTCTCTCTCTCTCTCTCTGCTTACTTTTTCCTCTTTTTATTTTTTAATTCACTTCTACTCACCAACTTCCAAATGCTTCTTGGAATCTTCAAATATATTATTTTAATTTTTTAAATATTGGAAAATATTTTTTATATCTTAATTTAAAAAATAAAAAAAATTGATATGGAATGCCTTTTTAAAATTTAGAAATATTGGAAACAAAATTAAAATTAAAGATTTTTATTTAATATGAAAACCAGAGATTAAATAAAAATTGGGATGAAAACAAAATAAAAGGAGAAAAGGAAGGGAACGGTTAAAGAAAATTAGGAATATTAAAAATTAAAAAGAAAATAGGAAAAATATATATATATATATATATTTTAAAATTAAATTTAAAAAAGGACGCACTTTTCGCAGCTATCGAAACTGATGTTTATTTTGGTTACCTGTGTACCTTTTCTTCTGTATCCTCACTTTTCCAGCCGTTCCATTCCCTCCATTTTTTTATTATTATTATTATTATATATATATATATATATATATATATAGTTTTTATAGTTTTGAATATTTCAAAAACATTTCTTTTGCTTCAAAATTTTTATTTTAGTATTTTTATTTGGTAACTGACCTTTTTTTAATTTTTAATTTATTTATTTATTTATTTATTTATTATGTTTCTAGGTTTTATTTTCGTTTTAATTAATTAATTAATTATCACTAGTTTGCATCATTCTTAATAATTTAAACAAATGGTCAACCTCATTAAAAATAAAATATTAAATGTCAAAGACAAAAAATATATAATAAAGATTAAAAATGAAATGTCAAAGATAAAAGTATTAAATTCTTAAACCTAGGATTAAATAGGAATTAAACCCAAAAATTAATGTAACTTCGATCCTCTTAGTTTATGTATAGACAAAAAGAACAATGGGTATAACAATTTTTTTTTAACGAGAAACAAGAAAATCGAGAAGACAGAAAAAAAAACGAGTTAAACTCCCATACGAACGGATCGATCCTCTTGTTTTATCTGATGTTAGGCCGAGCAAGTTAGAGAGGAAAATAACATAGTCAAAAACAACAATGTTAACCTCCCATACGAACGGATCGATCCTCTTGTTTTATCTGATATTAGGCCGAGCAAGTTAGAAAGGAAAATAACATAGTCAAAAACAACAATGAACATGTTACATTCTTCAACGAGAAACAAGAAAATCGAGAGGACAGAGAAAAAAAAGCGAGTTGATCTCCTATATGATCAGGTCACTTTCCACTTGTTATTGCGGAGCAAAAGATAGAATTGCAATGAACGATACAATTACTAGCGATTTCGACTTCATACAAGGTTGAAGATGCAAGATATCGAACCTCGTACATGAAAATCCACTCCACTGAAGAAGAAATATGTTTCTATGAATCTACAAAAATAAAGAAGAAAAAATGGCCTTTGTTTGGCCATTCACCATCATAAGCTTCTATTTCTCATCTACCTCTCATCAATTATTACTCTCTTCCTCTCAACTACTACTAATTTCATCAATACCCATAGCCTGAATTGTCCATGGGATTCCCAGCAGCAACTGGTTCAGGCTCCTTGATCTCCACCACCACACAATCCGACATTAAGAATGTCTTTGCCACTGAAGCTGCATGCTCTAAGCAGCATCTAACCACCTGATATCACACACCCGACTTCAGATATCGCAGTAATATGTACGACTCGACACTCAATACTTGAGTTTTGTGTCATATCGAATAACTGATATCATTTCTGCTAAGTATTTTTCAGAAGCTACAGCTCTTTCGAACTATTACTACTACTACGACGACGACGACGCAACGAAGAATGAGCTCTTGGGGTTAGTTAGTTACCTTAGTTGGATCGATAATTCCAGCGGCCATCAAGTCTTCATACTGCCCAGTTGCAGCATTGTATCCATATCTGTAATTGTCACTGGATAACACCTGATACAGAAACAGACGTCTTACACTATAATGCAACCACAATGAGGAACAAACATTGAATGAGTGATCGTATTATATACCTTCTCGCTAACAACGCTACCGTTCACACCAGCGTTCTTCGCGATCAGCTTGAGCGGATAGCTTAATGCTCTCTTAACAATGTCTGCACCAACCTGGCATTAAACCAATGGAACTTTAGAACCAAAAGCAACTGTAGAGCACATAGGGTAACAGTAAGTCTCACCAACTCTAGGTTTTAAAATGGGGATCTCACATTAAAACGAAGCGAATTTCCAAGACAGTTTAGTTTAGCTTACCTTCTCTTCCTCGTTTTCGAAGGACTCCTTGATAGCATCCACCTTTGATGCAAGTCTAAGGAGGGTGCAACCACCCCCAACAACAATACCTTCCTCAACAGCTGCCTGCAAAGTAATGATCGTTCACGGTCACGACTGTTTCTACAAAAAAAATTAGCAGGGGATCTAAGCAGACAGGATATTAAACAGTACCTTCGTGGCATTGAGAGCGTCTTCGACCCTCAGTTTCTTTTCTTTGAGTTCTGTCTCGGTTTGTGCTCCGACCTTCAGGAATTACCCCAAAATGTCACAAACATGTACAAAATCACATTTAGTCAAACAAGCTGATATACTGCAGAAATTTACCTGTATGACCGCTACACCACCAGAAAGCTTAGCAATTCTCTCGTTAAGTTTTTCTTTCTCATAGTCTTGTTCTGCAGCCTACATGAACATGGCCAAATCAATACCCAGTTTTTGCTGTCCAAGCAAGAGTTATGATCATTATTACTATCACTACCTCAATCAGAGTTTTGATCTGTGCAACACGCTTAGAAACTGCATCTTGAGTGCTACCATCACCAACAATTGTTGTGGTGTCTTTGGTAAGCACTACCTTGGATGCAGTTCCAAGTACCTCCTTTCCAACTTTGTCCAAGGAAAGCCCTACCTCCTCTCTGATAACCGTGCCTGGATCACCAAAATATACTCATTTCATTTTAGCAGAATTCGGAAGGAACTGAATGACGGGTCATGAAGCAAAGAAATTGGATTATTCAAATGAGTCGGGGGAATACCTCCAGTAAGAATGGCAATGTCGTCGAGGTACTGGCTCTTGCGCTCACCAAATCCGGGAGCTTTAAGTGCAGCGATCTTCAAAGAACCTCTCAGTTTATTTACAACTAGAGTAGCCAGTGCTTCTTGTTCAATATCCTCTGCCATTATCACAACAGGGTAGCCACCTCTAATAGCCTCCTCAAGGATGTTAATGAGATCCCTAGCATTAGTGATCTTCTTGTCAACAAGAAGCAGCTGTACGATTCCGAGTACGAAAGGTTAGACACCTCAAATGTATGGCCAATTTCCAGAATATGATAAGATGGAACATTGCATATACCTTGCAGTTCTCGTATTCCACAGCCATTTTCTCGCTGTCGGTAACAAAATAGGGAGAGATATAACCCCTGTCGAACTGCATTCCTTCCACGACATAGAGACTGTTATCGGCACTTCTTCCCTCTTCGAGAGTCACCACACCCTTTCGTCCAACCTTGCTCATGGCTTCAGCTATCATGTTACCCACTTCATAGTTATTTCCAGCACTAACTGCAGCAACATCAGCCAGCTCGCTGTCTTCAACCTACAATAACATTACATCTTAACAAACAGTTCATCCAACCACTAAATAGCAGCAGCACCATTAAACCAAACAATTTTACCTCTTTCGACATTTGTTTCAGCTCGGAGACCAAGGATTTGGCTGTTTTTTCAATGCCCCTAGTGATAAGAACAGGGTTAGCTCCAGCTGCTACAACCTAAAACATGTTCAGCTCAGTTAGTAAACATTCAGTGAGGACGCATAAACGTCGCACTACTCTCTATCTGATACCTTGACACCTTCAGCAATAAGACCCTGAGCCAAAACAACTGAAGTGGTAGTTCCATCACCAGCTAAATCGTTGGTCTTTGCAGCAGCTTGTCTGACTAGCTTAGCACCAATGTTCTCAACTGGATCCTCCAATTCAACCTAGTCAACAGAAGCAAATTCGACGAGGACAAGTTACTATCAGTAGCCAAAGAAGATTTGAATTTGAATTCGGATCCGGGAATGAGATACCTCTTTTGCAACAGTTACACCATCATTAACAATTTTTGGGGAGCCATACTTGCTTTCCAGAACCACATTTCTTCCTTTTGGACCAAGTGTAACTCCCACCAAGTCAGCAAGTTTGTTCACGCCGGTCTGAAACAACGAGACGCCTTGTTACAAGAACTATAATAGCTCCATTGCAAGTAAATTTGACGACAAACAAGAGCTCACCTGTAATTTCTTAATAGCCGAGCCATCCTGGTTGAAGTGCAGCTCCTTTGCCATTGCAGAGATCTTTGACGAACGGGTTCTTCTTAGAACTACGCTTTGTCTTCTTGGGAGAGTAAATAAAGAAATGGCAGTGCGAGAAGTCAACTTATCAGAAGATGCCATAAGCTTTTTATCCATTACACGGCTGCTAGGCGCAGCAAGGGTACCGATTGAAGACATGGATGTGAAAGCGGAAGCCATTTACCCTCTTTGAACTGAAACAGAAAGTGATTGGCCTCATTCCTTCGTTCAAATTGAAAAAAATTCATAGCAACAATTGCAAACAGCCAGCAAAACCCAGAAACGAAATGACATAAGCAAATTCATCAACATTGGAATTGACGATTGACAGACAATTATCAGACAACAATGCAAACACAAAAACGTCGGATAATCAAGAACACGATAGAAATGAATCAGCAAGCATAAAATGAATCGAGCTACAACAAATCCACACAAGATGAGGGGAATAAAACCCCAAAATCGAAAACCCATGTAGGAAATCTTGAATTAATCAAAACCCATAAATGAAATGACATAAACAAATTCATCAAGACATGAATTGTAAAGACACGATGCAGAAAGAAGAACCAGCTAGAAATGCAAACATGAACCATTACTGATTGGAAAGCCCAACAAAGCGAAAAAAGAGAGAGAAAGAGAAGGAAACATACAAGAAAACGGCGGAGGGTCAGAGGGGTTTTAGGGTTTAGAGGAAGAAGGATTGGTTCGGATAAGAGGGCGAGGGCGAGGGCGATGAGCGAGCGCTGTGAGCGTGGCAAAACTGCTCTAATCCACGGTACAAAATGCGGGATTGGAATAAAAAAAGAGTAGTAGGTTTCTTTATAGCGAATTCCCGATGGATGGATAGGAAAATGAGAGCAAAACGGACCCCATGAAGCTTGTAGGCTCCCGAAGCTTCCAGCAATTGTTGGCCGTTGGATTTGGCTCCCCCTCCATGACAACCCTCTGCGTTTGTCCTGCTTTGGAACACTCTAGAACCTTTGCTCTTTTCCCATTTTCTATTCTTTTCTTATTTTCTTATATCTTTCCGTATAATTTATTGTTTTTAAAATTATTTTAAAATATATATGAAAAATTATAAAAAAATTAATCTCCGAAAATATATATGAAAAATTATATAAAAAAAAAAAATTGAAGTAAAATATTTAATATTCGAAAAATGATGACTACAAAAAAGTGTCTTACTTTAAATTAAATATTTTTCCAAAAGAATTAAATAAATATATTCGTTAAAGAAAACGAAAAATACGTCGTAACTTTTTTTATAATAATTTTAAGGAGCCTTTTTAAAAAACTAATTAAACAATGCTGCACGTGTTAGTGACACGTGCGAAACACTAAGCTACATCTCAATATCTTCACTTTATTCTCTTTGAAAAATGGGATAGATTTTGAAGGGCATGAAAGTAATTTGAAAGCAAGTTTAAAATATTTATATTCATATCTCAATTTTAAACTAAGTCTTAATATATAATAATATTTAAACACAATGTTTTTAAGTATTTATTATACATATTTTCTATATATTAAAGTTTTTATTAACATTTGAGATATAAAATTTGATTTATTCTTATTTCCATTTGAGATATAAATTTTGTATTACAAGCTGAAAATGTATTAAAAGTAAAACATTAATTCCATATCTAATTTTTTTTTAAAAAAACTAATTATAGTTTCAGACTTAATTTTCCTTTCTCCCAGTCCCATCCCCTGCAGGTAAGGAGGATGCTACTACAACCTCATCACTTGGTTCCAGTAACGGCTCCAACGAGTCGACGATGTCTCGCATCAGCGGCCTCGCTTTCGGGTTCTTGTTCAGGCAATGGTAAGCCAGCATTGCTGCTTTGTGAAATCCTTTGACTGGATATTCTCCTCCAAGCCTCGGATCGACGATGTTCATCAGCTTCTTCTTCTGTTTCATGAGAGGAAGAGCCCAATCGGTAAGGTTTTGCTCTCGAGCTGGCCGTAGTTTGTCCAGAGACTTCCTTCCCGAGAGTAGTTCGAGAAGAACAACTCCAAAGCTATAAACGTCGCTTCGAGGGGTTAGATGTCCTGAGGAGAAAAAGATACCAGACTTAATGTGATGCCCGGCAGAAAACAAAGGTAAAGGCAAAGAAAGAACTCGTGCCTGTCAATATATACTCCGGTGCAGCGTATCCATATGTTCCCATTATACGAGTTGAGACGTGAGATTTGTCACCAACCGGTCCATCTTTCGCGAGACCGAAGTCCGAAAGCTTTGGATTATAGTCCTGGTGTTGAACCAAAGTGATCGGTCAGTATTCAAACCGAACCATTCGTGATAGGGAGAGTGAGCTAAAATCTTCTTAAATGTACACGAAGGCAATAATAAACCAACCGAATCGAGCAGAATGTTCGACGTCTTAAAATCACGATAGATGACGGGCTTTTCAGCTTCGTGTAGAAATGCCAGTCCTTTTGCTGCACCATAGGCAATTTTCATTCTGATGGTCCAAGGCAAAGGAAGCAGCACTCCTGCAGTCATGGAAAGTCAACATAACATACTACCGACCGACGATTCATCGATAGAACGGTCGAAATAGTACAAAATTCGATCATCGTCAAACCATCCAACAATTTTAAACCATATACACAATTTAAAACCATTCGTAGTCTCATCATGATCATCGTCAAACACGTAAGGTTTGTTTTCTCATCACGATAACGACATCCCACCTAAATCCTGCAGGCTCTAATGTCTTATTTTCTGTTTGTACTTCATTTATGTTTATTGATACATGTCGATGCTTCATAATTAAAATCAACGTACTTATGGTATATCGAACAAAAGCATAATTGTAACAGTCGAAGTCCACCGCTAGCAGATATTGTCCGCTTTGGCCCGTTACATATTGTTATTAGGCTCATCGTTTTAAAACGTGCCTACTAGGGAGAGATTTTCACACTCTTATAACGAATGTTTTGTTGCCCTCTCCAACCGATGTGGGATCTCACAATCCACCACTTTGGGACCCAACGTCCTCATTGGCACACTGTCCGGTGTCTAGCTCTAATACCACTTGTAACAATCCAAGTCCACCGTTAGCACATAACTGGCAAACACGTTTTAAAACCATGAGGCTAACAACAATATGTAGCGAGCCAAAGTGGACAGTATTTGCTCGCGGTGAGGTTGGGCTATTACAACAATCCCAATAAAGAAGTTAAGGCTGACAAAGAAAAACTCGGGATTTAGAAAGCTGCTTACTTGAAAACAGATTGTTTTCCACGCTCCCTCGAGCCATGTACTCATAAACGAGCACCCGATGCTCGTCTTCGCAACAATATCCAATCAACTTAACCAAATTAGGATGAGAAAGCTGCCCCAGAAATATGACTTCTGCCTAAAAAACAGTAGTTCTCTTAATTAGAGACAGTATATATAATAATCAAACACAAAAGAACGAAGAACAGAACATTACCAGCCATTCCCTGTGGCCTTGATAACTATTAAATCCATCATGAACCTTAACAGCAACTGGAAGAGAAACAATTCCTTCTCTCAAATCCTCTGTAATGAAACCTTTATAAACACTTCCAAATCCTCCTCCGCCTAACACGCGATCCTGTCTAAATTTCCCCGTGATTAACTTCAGCTCGTCGAACGTAAACGCAATCAGCGGATTCGTGGCTGAATTACGTCGCAAATCTTCTACTTCTTTGGGGTTAGAGGGCAGCTCAAGCTTGTGTCCGTTGTCCCCTTGATAAGGCCATGTGCTATCAACTTTAGGAGACTCTGAAGAACATCATGAGAGAATGAACAAGCCAAACACCAAAAGGTTTGATTTGGATGACCCAAAAGAAGATATTACAAAGCAAAGCCAAGATTTACTCATATGATGAACAGAACAATAGGGATCGTGATGAACACTATTATACTATTTGCAAATCAACCCACTAAGAAACAGAGGTTTATGAGTGGATAAACAGAGTTTTCCTCCCATTACATGTTTTTGGCAGATCAAAGCAGATAAACTATCAGATTTCTTCACATATTTCTTCAGATTTTGCTAAAATTGGCTTAAGCAATCAAAACCCAGAAACAATTAGCAGAAACTACAATCATCCAGAAGGTATGATAGCTAAGAGAAGCCCTGCAACAGACAGACTATAGATACTCAAAACAAACAGGGGAAGAAAACAGAGTATCATCGCCATGATCGAAGAAAAGAAATGAACAAAATAGCATAAAAAACCACTAGTTCGTAACAGAGTATCATAATCAGAATGGCACGAATCATCGCCATGATAGAAGGAAATGAACAAAATAGCATCAAAACCCACTAGTTCATAACAGAGTTTCATCATCAGAATGGCAAAATCATCGCCATGATCGAAGAGAGGAACTGAACAAAATAGCATCAAAACCCACGAGTTCGTACCTGATTTTGCGTTAGAAGATACCCTATTAGCCGTAGGTTCCCATCGATACCAGCAATTTCCCATTGAATCAAACCCAAAATGATGAACAAAGAAACCCAAAAACTCCAGTTCTTCAACAACCCATCATCGCCAAAACAAACCAACCAAGAATCAAAGAAAGCAAACCAGAAATCGAAAGGAAAGAAGAAGAAAATGATAGAAATGGCTTGAAACGGAAGCAAAGAAAAAGAGGGAAACCGCGATTTGTTCTTGGTGAGAAATGAAGAGAACGAAAGGGAAAGAACAAAGAGTAAGTAATACTTCTTCCTCCTCTTCTTCTTCTTCTTGATGGTAATGATGTGGGGTTGTTGGGTTCTTGGCTATGGCGGAAAAACAAAACGGACCCACAAAAAAATTTCAAAAGGGTTCTTCGATTTTGTACTGTTCTGATTCAGAAAAGCTGTATTTCACAATTCCATCATCATCGCCATCATAACTATCCGCCAGGGCGTTCTTATTCTTAGTGCGCATGTCCGTAGTGCCCCCACCAATCCCCCTTTCCTCGTCACGCACTCTTTTTTATTTATTCTTCTTCTTCTTCTTCTTCCCATTTCCATTCTCAATTCTCAACCACTTTACCCAACTTCAAAGTATACTAAAGAAACGGCGTAAACCTCTGAAAATACTCGAACCCAATTGGAAAATACTAATGATTTGGGAGGTGGGTGTGTTTGTTTTTCAAATTTCCAGTCAAAAAATGGTCAGCGAAGTGAAGAGAAACACCAAATTTGTTGTGTTCTTTAATTTTGTGGATTAATCATCTTGTTAATGGATTTTTTATTTTTATTTTTGGTATTGAATTGAATGGCTGAAAAGGGCGGCATTAACGCGTTGGGATACAGAAAAAGAAAAATAGTGAAGAAATAAATGAAGAGAAGATGGATGTGGATGCTTATAGCGCAAGAATAGGGTCTTCACTGTCGTGTTGTTGGATTTTGATGAAGCTTTCTGTGCATGAATGCATGGAGGGTAAAGTCGGTGGAATTTTAAGTATTATCCTTTTTTTTTTCTTCTTTTCAATTTCATTTATTTTGTTAAATAAATATCCGTTCACATCTCGCCCTCCTCTCGAACTTTTAAATTTGTTATAATTTAGTCTATAAATTTAGTGACGCCTATTGCCACGAAATGATGGATCGAAATGAGTTCTAAAGTTCAAACCGTCGTAACTTTATTTCTTAACAATTTGAGTTACATTTAATGATATACTTGACTACCTCTTGAGTTTCATTGGCTTGTCGGTGCACTCAACTCATCTCGGCTCGACTCGAGGCAAGCTTTCGACCCAATAATTTATTTATTTGGGCCAATCTTAATTTGAACCACGTATAATTTCACTTTTGCCCCTCAAACATAGGAGGAGTATCGATAGCAACTTTAAAAATTTTTAAAGAATAAGAACAAAATTGATATCTAATTCTAAGTGGTCGATACTCATTA